CGCTCAAGCTAGCAAGGTATTTGTTGTGAACTTCTTGCAAGATTGTGTATACTTAATTTAGCTACACCTGAGGCACTGGTTGATTCACCTATTATTGCTGCTGCTACTACTGCTTAAACTCCAGTTCTCTGCTGAGGAATCCTCGAATTCTTCTCCTCCTGCAGACAGCAAAGCTGAAGATCAAAATCTTTCCCGAACAAAAATGATGTCCAAACAAGCAATCTAGGACTAAAGTTACGCACCTAAGGACTTGATGCTGAAGTAACTTCAGGCCGTTTTGTTTGTTATCATATTTGCAGAAGGCTGGTCCAAATGGGCATATCGTGAAAAATTAATAGCAACTGGAGTGGACATGTTCTGCATTCAAATCCGTATACATAGGGACATGTCAATATTCAGTCTTCAGATAAACCAAGTTCTAACAAGATCCCTGAATCAAACTGTCAATATTCAGTGCTTCATCCTTCCAGAACGACTGAACAAGGCATGATCCTTCGATCGTGGCCTTTGCTATTAGATGTTGTTTTTGGTGGTTCCTCCAAGCTGTTTAGTTATATGCATTTGGCTTTGGCTTTGGCTTTATGGCATCTAATCAAAAGAGGCTAGACCATAGCACAGTACTCAACCAAATGAAGTTACCTTGCTGGTTTTTCTGTAGACTTGAACATTTCCAAATTCTAAACATCGATATTTTAAATATAAACAAAAAAAATTCTGTCAATACTCCCCTGTACCAATTATATATTTCCAAGGCAGCCATGCATATATAATCCATGACAACGAGTAAAAGAAGATATGTATAGATAATACAAGACCATTCCATCACAATTCACAGGAACTATGGATTTGTGTGCTTCCAAGACTCAATCGGAACTATATACTCGATAAGAAAGTAGGCAGTAGCCAGAGATACTTTACAGAAGACATGCATAACAATCCAAGACCATTCAATCACAAATCATAAAATTAATCACAATTCACAGGAACTATGCATTGTGTGCTTCTAACACTCAATCGGAACTATATACCAGATAAGAAAGTAGGCAGTAGGCACTAGCCAGGGATACTTTACAGAAGACATGCATGATAATCCAAGACCATTCAATCAAAAATCGTAGGAACTATGCATTCGTATGCTAGCCTCATGATTTCTTGTTCTTTGTGACCAGTTAGAATCTATTTTCAGAACAATGAACATCAAGAACTACTGTTGAGAGAACTTGAATCCATTTAATAGGGGAGCAGAAGGGGAACAAGCATTTGCAGATAGACTGGGCACAATAATGATGTAAGCAGACTTAGCAATATGGATGCACCATATTTAGACTTCACAAGGCAGGATATAATACAACTTTGCAATAAACATCTTACTACCTCAAACAGTAAGGTTCAACGTATCAATGAAGTTTACCTCCCATCATGTATATATTTCCATTTCTGAACATGAATGTTTAAAATTTCAAACACTGATATTTAAAAGCCAAATGAGATCCTTCATGTCTATTTTTTCTTCCACCATGTACATATTTCAAAGGCCAACCCAACTTCCTACCTAAAAGAATATGACAGGTTCTTGCTCCAATTACAATTTTGCTAGTAGACCGAGTAACTAGAGTATTGTACCTTTAGCAGCAACAACATAAAGTTTTCTTTGAATACAGAGAGTCCAAAAACTTTAGATCTGCCACACAATTCCACAAATTATATTTATCCTTTCGTCGATCAATGATAATGTCACTTGACAGAACAAAGTAATATTACTTCAGAATCACAAAGGGAGAACATAAAAGATTTTCTCCTTTTTGCTGCTAATTCCTAGTTCACGACTTTCTTTTAAGGAAGCTAACCTCGAAACTGCATGGTAGGGAAAGGAAGTCGTTCAAGAAGTCATCGTGTTACTTGGAGATCATTCGTGTTTCTTCCGCCACCAGACAGTCACTAGAATGAATAACTGATCAAAATCGGACCTGACTTTCATATAGGCATTTAACTGACATGGCCAATGTATTTTCTTGATTTTATCTATGGTGCAATTCATTCTCGAGTTCCCCTCTAGAACTATATAAAGTACTTCCTGCTAGCAAGATACTGTCACGACTAATGAATCTGAAGTGGAGTAGGAAGGCAACTGGAATGAGTAACTAATCATCATCATCATCTTATTAAAAGGGTTTCTTGGAGCTATTTGTTGGACACATTGAAAGGGTTTCAACTTGCAGAAAACAGTAGTACCTTAATAAACCAGAGGAACTCAGGGGAAACCGAAAGGTAACGACAAATTGAAAATCATATCAGATCAAGATCAAGCAACAACACAGACTTTCCAGTCAGATGAAACAAAAACCATGAACTATCATGTAATCTTTGGATTTTGTAGCGAGACACTGACACTGAAGATATCTTCCTAAGTTCACGAAAAGCTGACATGGAACAGAAGGGCAACTAGATGTTTCGATAATGTTACAAACAACCAGAGCATTCGAATCTTTTTCTCAAGTTCTCTTCACGAATTCATAAAAAAACGTTAATGCATCACAATTGATGAACGTTAAGGGGGAGCTGAAGGGCAACTTTAATGAGTACATCTGTACATGATGACTCAATAATTAGGCAAAACTGGACGGAACTTTCAGATCAACAGTGAACCAACAGGTATAGCATATTTTTTTAGGTGTACGGACTTCCTAGAGAAGTAACTATATATTAGTATTAATTTTAAAAGTCTCACCTAAGACTGATTCCACACAAGACTTTCAGCTTGCAGAATGTTATCGTGATTGAAGGGAGCAAAAGGCAACTTGAATCAGCCAATGATCATCTCAATAAGTGGCAACTTGAATCAGTCGATGATCATGAAATCTTACTTTCTCAAACAGTAAGGGCGCGCCAAGAATATTAAGAGTTGACAATTGCATAACTAGGGCAACTAGAATGAGTAACTGATCATTTCACTATAGTAAGAACCAGAAGAAACTTTAAGATAACCATTTAACTGAATGACTATGATGTACTGCTCACTGCAAGTCCCCTCCTACTGCTCCATGAGTAATTAATCATCAATGGTATTTTCTGGGTCTATCTATCTAGTACTCATTCTCAAGTTCCATTCTAGGACTCCCTATTGTACTTTCTGTTTACAGATCACATTCACAACTGAACTGGAGCAGAAAGGCAACTGATATGAGTACTAATCACTTATTATAAGGCAACACCAACTCGACTTTCAGATAAGCAATGAACGTGGATTCATCAATGATGTAGTACTCATTCTCAAGTTCCCTTCTAGGACTCCATATCAAACTTTTCATTTATAGAACATTGTCACAACTGAAGTAGAGCAGAAGGGCAACTGAAATGAGTACTAATCACTTATTATAAGGCAGCACCAACTCGACTTTCAGATAAGCAATGAACTTGGATTCATCAATGATGTAGTACTCATTCTCAAGTTCCCTTCTAGGACTCCATATCAAACTTTTCATTTATAGAACATGGTCACAACTGAAGTAGAGCAGAAGGGCAACTAAAATGAGTACTAATCACTTATTATAAGGCAGCACCAACTCAACTTTCATATAAGCATTGAACGGACATAGACAATATGTTTTTTCTGGATTCATGTACTCATTCTCAAGTTCCCTTCTAGGAATCCATATACTATTTTCTGTTCAGAACAGGGGGCAACTGAAGTGGAGCAGAAGGGCAACTAGAATAAGGCAATCACTTATTATAAGCAATATCAAATCAGCTTTCAGATAAGCATTGAACCGACAGTGACCAGATATTGATGGGTTTATCTATGATGTAGTAATCATTTTCAAGTTTGCTTCTAGAACTCCACAAAGGAATTCCCATTTATGAAACACTATCGTGACTGATGAACCTGAAGTGGGACAAAAGGGCAACAGGAGCGAGTAACTAATCATCTTAATCCAAGGCAAAACCGTACCCAATTTCATACAAGCATCAAAGACAGGCACCATGTATTTTCTAAATCTATCTATCATATAGAAAGGATTGAGCAAACACTGTCTAGCGACACCCACAATTTGATCATGATCAGTCCAGAAGTACAAGGCAGTAACTGAAACAAACGACATGCACATCCATTGAATAAGCAATAAGGGACATCAAGAAAAAGCATCATTGACATTGAATAAGCAATAAGGAGTGACTGAAACAAACGACATGCACATCCATTCAAATTCTTAACATAGAAAAGAAGGGACTCTGAGAACACTACCAGAGAAAGGTTGGTCCAGCCCAGATCGCGTCATATTTCCGGAAACACGCAAAAACCCATCCTGTAACGGAGCGACGACCACGAGTACCAAAAAACCCTAACCCGCGCTAATCATGTCGAAACCCTAACGAAATTCCATGGACTGCGGGTTGAACGGAAAAATCCTTTCTCGGCGGCCGAGATTCGGCAGAATAAGAAGAAAGCATTATCGGGATTTCGAATTTTCCGAAGAGGCACAGAAGGAAATCAGGCGAGGGAATTACCAAACTGAAAATCTCCAACGCGAAGCAAACATTATCAGGAACACGCTTAACGAACGATCGAACCCCTCTTCTCCACTCCACCGCCTCTAGCCGAGCCCTGTCAAAACTCCAATCCAGTTTCCAAAGTACAGTAACCGTTGCAGATGGGCGGGCAACAATGCTATTAATAGTGCAGAGTTACCGCCTCATGAGATGATTAACGCGGGTAAAACGCGGAGTAGAGGAAATTACTATAGTGCCCTTCACTTATCTTCATTACTGCAAACAATGAGCAACACTTTCCCCAAAATGCCCTTATTTTTAGTTTCTAAAATGTTTAATTCTGGAGTGGAGAGAAAGCGTTTAATTGGGCCGTCACCCTTAGACAACTGGTGGGCTACTGGAGTTTACATTTGGGCCCAAACCAATTAATCATCTATTTTTATAATAATAAATAAATATTATATAATTCTATCCAGAGTAGCTTACTGCTGTAACATATATTTTGGTCCTTATCGAGTTGGGCTGGGCCCCAGCCCAACCAAGCTGGCTCGCTACCTCACTTCCGTCTCCTCTTCTCTCGGACTGTTAATTCAGTTCGGAACTCTCAAGTTTCAACGCCTTCCCTCTTCTTCCCAAAACTCTGCTCTGTCCTGCTTCAAAGGTTCCGGCCGGCTTGACTTTCAACTTGCCGGCAGCAATGGCATCAACGTCGTCTCCCTGCGTTAAACCCAACACTGTAGCTACGGCTGCACGTATTCCGTCGCAACCGCCGGACTCAACTCAACCTCAGAGGCTCTCCTTCCCTATCGTTTCCCACCCTTCCCTCTCTTTCTCCCTCCGACCTACATTCTCTGGTTTTCAGGTCACCCACTCTCCTTCGCCTTTCTTACTGGAAAAATTCAATTATGCTTGGTGGCATTTGCCAACATTAATTGAGATGGGGATTCAAGAATTCAATTGGGTAGATCCCAATTTGTTCCCCTCACTCCCTCAGCGATCATGAATTGCCGCTGGTGGATTACGTTCTTTCGAGAAAGAAAGATGTTTACTTTATGTTTTCCCCAAATTAAACTTTTATTCTTGACATGGGTATAAATGATAGCAATGTTGCACCAATGGGAGGGCTTTGAAACGAATATGCTTGATATACATTGCATTAGCTATCAACTTATAAGGAGAAGCTGAATGGTTTTGTATCTGCTATGCTCAAAGATCGTGAATTCCTGTTAAGTTCATTTTGTTAGTCAAGGTTTGGCAGGGTGGAAGCCTGGAAGGGGTTACCATTGCTAGCTAGCTAGTTCAGCATCTGTTACTGTTAGTGCGAGTTCAGGTTGCTACTCTTGCAGCTTAAGACTAGAGTCATGAAAATCTGTATTGGCATTGTTACCTGCCCCCAAATGTTGAAATCCTGTCGCAAGTCGAAATGCTAGCGGCTGGTTCGTATTGTGGGATGACCATGTTTGTTCTTTGTGCAGTGGCCCAGCAAGAAGCTGGCTTCTGTAACAAAAGTGCACGCACAAGCGAACAAGGTATTTGTTGTGAACTTCTTGCAAGATTGTGTATGCTTAATTTAGCTACACCTGAAGCACTGGTTGATTCGCCTATTGCTGCTGCTGCTGCTGCTTAATATCCAGTTATCTGCTGAGGAATCTTCGAATTCTTCTCCTCCGGCAGACAACAAACCTGAAGGTAGAATTCCAGATGCAGCGACGGTGTCAGAGTGCATGGCTCAAGTAGCAGACCTTGTCAAGTAAATCCCTGTCAACTTGCCTGTCTGTTTAATTACAAGTTCCCATTGCACTGCAAGCAATTGCGTAAGTTAATGTGAGGTACAATGTGCAGGCTTGTGGATAAGAGAGATATTGCAGAGCTGAAACTGAAGCAAATGGACTTTGAACTTATCATAAGGAAAAAACAGGTTTTGCCACCTGCTGCTCCTTTCATGATGATGCAATCACCATATCCACAAGCCATGGCACCACCACCACAGCCACAACCAACAGCTTCTCCTGCTCCTGCAGCTCCAGCTTCAGCACCTAGCTTGCCTCCTGCTGCAAAGACTAGCTCGTCTTCTCATCCACCACTGAAGAGTCCAATGGCTGGAACCTTTTATCGCTGTCCGGGCCCAGGCGAACCACCATTTGTGAAGGTAAACACCTATTATTGGTTACATCTTATGCTCCGAGACACAGACACAAGTTTTTGCCAGATCACTTCAGTATAGAAAATTTCGCTTGTCTTTTACAGGTAGGAGACAAGGTGCAGAAAGGTCAGGCCCTCTGCATCATCGAGGCCATGAAGTTGATGAATGAAATCGAAGTATGTATTTCCTTTTGTCATGCTACGAATCTCCTTTGGTACAGGAAGTGTATATGTTAATGTTCACATATGTGTCTACTTATTCAATAGGCTGATAAGTCTGGAACAATAGCTGAAATTCTGCTTGAAGATGGGAAACCAGTTAGCATGGACACGGTAAATCACATTACCTCCCTCTTTCTCACCATCAGACAAACTTCAATACCATCTTAACTCAAGTTCTAAATGCTTTTGTTTCCCGGGTCTGTGTTGCAGCCTTTGTTCGTAATTGTACCATGAAGGACAGCGGATGAACTTCTCACCTCTGTCCGCGGCAAGCAGCACTGAAGAAACTTTTGAGAAGTTGAACTTCCCTAGTCATATTCTGAGCTTGCAGCTTGTAGTATAAGCCTGTTTTTTTTATCAATGCAGGGGAAACTTGTTTCCTATTGCAATGTACTAGAAGCCTCGGAAGACTTTATTTAAGAACAACAGTTTTTGGAGTGAAATTTTGGTAATTTATCACGTAAAATTACACACTTTTTTTTTCCCCAGTTGTGAACTAGAGTTCTGAAACAGTTTTTCATGTGTACATAGCTTCTGATTCCCAAATCAGTAGAGACAAATGGATGAAGAACATATCTTAAAATTTGCATCAAATTCCGTTTAAAGTGAGACCTTCAGCTGATGCTGTTGGTGAAAGCACTATTGAATATGTTGCATCAAGATCCTCTCTTTTTTTATGTTCCTTACTTCGCTTCAGTTAGTTTATTTTATTTTGTGGCGAGAACTAGGAAGCAATGAAAGTCTTTTTACTATCCTTTTGTCATCCTCTTAAGATTAAGTAGAAGACTAGTAAGGGAAACGGAATCACCAAAGAAATATTTGAGGGTAAGGAGAGGAAAGCAAGAGGTCGGCTAGAAAATGTGGGGCGTTGGAGAGAAATGCTGGAAGCCAGGAAGCTCTAATTGTGTGGGTGGGGAAGGTGTTAAGTGAAGTTGGCCGTTGTTGGTAGTTAAGACTTTGAGAGTTGAGACCCAAAAACAGGGCAACGTGAGAGACTTGTGAAACGAGGCGAATAATTAATTCCCACAATTCAATTCATCAATTCGCCACTTTTCTTCCTTCTTTGTCTCTCTCTCTCTCTTGTGGTTACTACTACTACATTGATAGTATCGAAACTCTGCCTTTGAAAAACACTCCCAGACCCACGACGAGACGACACAGCTCTGCCTCTGCTCCATCCAAACAAAGACAAAACCAAAAACTTTACTTCATCCCATTGTCCGTCTGTCCAAGAGAACCATAACCCAGTTGGCGTTTCCTCTCTCTCGCCAACTTCGCCGCTCAATTCCTCCTTCGATCTCACCGCCGCATTTCCCTTACAAAAACCCTTCCATTTCTTCTGAACTCCCTTCTCTCTATCTCTGTAATCTCAACTTGGCCGGACTGTTAATTCAGTTCGGATCTCGGCGGCTTCTTCATCCTCTGTTTGCTTGAAGGGAACTTCTCTGCAACAGCTCCCATGGCGTCGATCTCCGTTCCTTGCCCCAAAACCACCGTTGCTGCTTCTGGGTTTCCCTCATCTCAAGCTGCTCCCTTGGAATCCAACAGGATTGCCTTCCCTCGTGCTTCCAAACCAGCTTCTTCTCTCTCTCTTGGATCCACATTCTCTGCTTTTCAGGTCATTTTCCCTTCCCCATCTTCCCATTTTTAATTTTCCAATTCCTATCTTATCACCATTTACATACTGTTGCTGTAGCGTAGCTCCATTTCCCTTCTCCCCTCTTCCTTTTCCTTAATTCCACCGTTGCAGTTTTGATTTCGGTGTTATTTGGCCTATGTGAAAGCAAATTTTTGCTCTTAATCCAATTTGCTGCATGTAGTCTAGCCTTTTTGAACTGGATGGCTAAGTTTGGCTTTACTCTAAGCTCTTTGATGGATGCTTGTTGTTAGTCCAAGGCTTCAATTTAAGTCTGAGTTTGGTGTGTATTCATTGTTTGTTTTTTTGTTGTTGTCGTGTTCCAGTTGTCGGATGAAATGAGGATTGAACTGATTTGGATACCTTAAGCTAGCTTCTAGGTTCAGCTTTGATCTTGATGGGAGAGGTTTGGCCGTGTTTGACAGGTGGGGGTGTTTTCAAGGGGAGGGCTATATGCCTCTATGGCTATCAGCTAGTTCTCAGTTTATGGATAGAAACTTGAAAGAATTGAGTTACTTGGAAGAAATTGCTATTTTCTCTGATAACTACTAGTTGAAGAATTTGCTTGCCTCTATGAAGCTCCTTTGAACCCATCAGAGTTCCCTGCTTACTGTTCTATAGCTTAAAGCATCTGAATTTAGTTCTGGAGCTTGTTAGAGAATGTTTTGTTATCATTAGAATGCTGTTTCTCCAGTTTGTTGTTCACTGACATGATGTGAATGGTGCTGCTTTATGTGCAGAGGCCTAGCCGGAGGGAATCTTTGGTATCACAGGTGCAAGCTAAAGTAAGCCTGTTTGTTGCTAGTACATTCCTAGGACTAGGAGTTGCAGTAGATAGCTTCCAATAAGCCACTCATCATCTGCTGCTTTTAAATTCCAGGTGACTGCCAAGGAATCTTTGAACCATACACCTTTGGTGGACACCAAATCCGATGTTACCGCCGAATCCAACGGGAAAGCAGAGACTACAGAACCCAGAATTCCAGATGTGGCATCGATTTCAGAATTCATGACCCAAGTGTCACACTTGGTCAAGTAAGTAGAGTCCCATGCAACTTGGCGGAAGGAAAGTTGCTTCCTTCTATGTTTGCTGGAACTAATGGCCCTTCTTAATGTGCAGACTTGTGGATTCGAGAGACATTGTGGAGTTGAAACTGAAGCAATTGGACTGCGAGATAGAGATAAGGAAAAAGGAGGCTCTCCCACAGCCGCCAGCTCCTGCTGCTTCTCCTTTCATGATGATGCAGCCTCCCTATCCACAGGCCATGCCACCACAACCAGCAGCTGCTCCCGCCGCTCCTGCTGCAGCTTCTGCATCATCAGTACCTGCCTTGCCTCCTCCAGCTGCAAAGCCTGCTTCATCTCATCATCAATTGAAGTGTCCTATGGCTGGCACCTTTTACCGGTCTCCAGCCCCAGGTGAACCGGCATTTGTCAAGGTAAATTAGTTATCTTTGGCTGGACTCTTTGAAGTTTGTGTTGTAATGAGGGTTTTTTCTTAACCATCAATGTGCGTTTTACATAGGTCGGAGATAAGGTACAGAAAGGACAGGTTCTTTGCATCATTGAGGCCATGAAGCTGATGAATGAAATCGAGGTATGCTTGTCCTTCTCGTCAATCATTAGAGTTCATGGCACCTGGGAAATCCTCCTTTCATAACACTGATCGTTCCAATTTTTCCCTCGCTTCACAGGCTGATCAGTCTGGAACCATAACTGAAATATTGGCAGAGGATGGGAAACCAGTTAGTGTTGACCTGGTAATCACACCCCCTCTCTTCTTCTTTCTCGGTAGTATTTGCCCTTCTAAGGTCAGAATCTAAAGCCTCTCGTTGGTCGAATTATGTTTGCAGCCTTTGTTCGCGATTGCTCCATGAGCAACACCGGAAAGAACGTCCAGCTTGGCCTGCAGTAGACATGCGAGGCAGCCACTGTCGTCCCAGAACTAGAAAAGCTTTAAAAAAAAACACCATCTTGTTTGAAGCTTGAGAATTGTAATGTGAAATAGAATAATTGAAACCTCATTTCGGGTTTTTCTTTTAATATGATAAGCCGCTGTTTCTCTACACTTTGAAAACTGATTTTTAGCTGGTAATGTAGCAGAAGCCTCACAAAAGGGGATTTAGTTTAAGTGTAAGGTGTTTGTTCGTTTCTCCTGTGAATTTTTTGTGTGTAATATGTGGACAAGTTTTGAAGTCGTTAAAAACAATTGCAGTGCCAACCCGTTTTAATGTTGTATCCAGTTTGACCTGCTAATTTCTTATGTACACCTTATCCAGTTCAAATAATACAATTGTTCTTGCAACAAGTTCAATATTCAACTCCAACAACAATACAGTCGAATCAAGTTAACAGAAACACAAGGGGTAGTTCGACTGCTCCCACGCTCTTTCAATGCACATTCTCCTACGAGGCGTTTTATCTATCGTCTGTGAATTTATCTCTTTCCGGTTTCTCGGTTTGGCTCCATGAATTGCTGCAAAATCTCTTGCTATCTGGGAGAAGATTATTGCATTCTCATATACCAGCAACCAATACCAGTAATCAAATCCTTGACTTTCATTCCGAGAAAAGAATCGGCAGTTAAAACTTTTCTGGACAAAAAATTACAAGATGGAAACAGCAGCAGAAAGCTACAGCTACAAGTTACAAACTACTCTGACGAAGAAACAATCTTCATGTTTCTTCATGCTTTCTAAGCGTTCCCACCTAAAAATCCCTATTCCTTTCTCTTCTCCTGTCATTCTACAATAAAGATCTGTCCCACCTATAGCTCTATTCGCTGTCGCCAACAAAACTTCATGTACACTGGTTAGCATATATGTGCATATGCTATTTCGTCGTATTTACAATACCTATTCATCGTAGTCATCGCTGTCTGCCTCCTGATCTGTTCCCTCTCCTGCTGCTACCAGTTAACCTCCTGCCTCCACCCATCCAGTCTCCATCGTCATCATCATCGTCGTCATCCATGTCATCGGCCAGAGTACGGCCAGTTCTCTTCCTGGGAGTTGTCCGCTTCCTGACCGCACTGCCAGCCGTCAGGTTTGCATCATCATACATGTCTTCGGCTGCTGGGGCACCTCGTCCGGGTTTCTTCCTGGGAGTGGGGCGCTTCCTATTGATGTTTGCTGTGTAAGTTGCATAATCCACTGTGTCTTCCTTCAGCGCATTTTTTAAGTCCTGTTTTTGACAAAGTGAGCAAGCATTAAAAAGAGCCCACTTCCCATTACATAAACGGTAGACAAAGAGAAACTTCCCAACACAAGAGCGGGGCACAAATTCTGTAATCTGTAAGTCTACTTTTGGCGTACCTGATATCGCTGTACCAGATCCTGATACGTTGTGGGCATGCTAGTCCGGATATCACTTACGTCAAAAGGAATAGTCTGCCTGGATAGATTCTCTCCAGGTTTTGGGGGTTCGTTCGGTAAAAAGGCCTAGTTCAATAAACATAATACATCTATCATAACTAGCAAACTGTTAATGATGATAACAAATGAAAAAACATTTACCTGACAACGGGAGTCATTCAGGCCATACACAATCTTTAGGTGTCTCTTCAGCTTCAGAAGAAGCTGCAAAGCAGTGGCAGCGAGACAATGGACCTGTTTCAACCACAGGAACGGAGATTCAGAACGGCAAGCTCTTCCTATCTAACCTCAAATTATTTCTTTCCAAACACGCAGACACATGGTTATTGTACACTGGTGATTACCTGGATTCTGTTTATATCATCCTGGGAGAGGCTGCAAGGTTCAACTATGTTCATATGGCTTGTCGTATTTGGATCACTTGAAGTGGAGACTGAATGGCCAGGTGGCTCGTCTTTAAACGTTCCATTCAAATCGAAATTTCTCAAAGGACTGGACTGTGCTCGATCAACTGGCTCTTCATCCTTAGCCATGTCATTCAAGTCCATTGAGCCCACTTGTCGGACACTGAGCTGAGTTGCTTCTTCCTGAAGTAACCCACTCTGATGGTGAGCTTTCCGTGCAGCTCTTTCTGCCAGATGCAATACTAGCCCCTTCATATTTGCCTCAAGTGCCCCAACCCTAACTTGGATCACCCGATTTATAGAATAAATGAGATACAGTGGTTCATCCGGAACAGTGAATGGCAGTAGAGCAAGCACTTCAGTACAGTGCCTGTGAAAAAGGAAACCAAAATTATTAACATTGTTAAAGAGTTGCAGACCAAATGCCAAATGACCGGAAACTCTGAAAGCACTTACAGTAGAAAGCCAATCACTGAATCACTACGGACTGGATTATCAAATTTGCGCACAATTGAAGACATGAATTTATTTCTCGAGACACGGTTCCCACGAATAAGCTTGTAGATCCGAGAAACTCCGAGTCTAGCCTGAGTCAGAGCACCAGTTTCATACTTTCCTTTGGAATTCCCAGCTGACTTAGGTGGTAGCCTTTGGTTTGGTTTTTCATTAGAGGCACTAGAAAGAGCATGCATGAATGTATATGATAGCTGAAGACCATCGCCTAATCGACTCTCAAAGAAGGCTGGGTACCTGAAAAAGTGATACCCTGGTTTTGAGTTGCTTATGTAAAATATAAGACGAATATATTGCAAAAACAGGAGAAAAAGAGTCCGAACACCATACTTCTCATTCATATTCATCAATAGATGATGTGCCAACTTCGAGTTTGACTCTAACGGATCGGATTCAAGTGCTATGAGGTAGGGAACACAAGTAATAGGGTGAACTAGACCTTGCCTGAGCACCACCTCGACAATCTGCATGGATAACAAAATCAAATAAGTGAAACTCAAGCATCCAAGTGCAGCAAAGTTACAGTGCATGAGATCCTACTCCTATTTACTAAACTTTAGCTTCCTGGCTTTGTCCCTTTATTTTACATGATGAAACCAGTTCTTGTACTAGCACGGGAACTTAATATAGGACCGATTTTCCCACCTTCAGTGCAGTCTGGCGAACTTCCTCATTCAAATCTAAGCTCCTTCCCAAAATGTGATCCCAATATAACTGGATAATCCCACCACAGATGTTGGTATCCCCAGCACCTGCAGCAACAGGTACCACCCTTTGACCAGCTCCAACCGAACTTTGAGCATCGTTACTGGCTTTATCTGTTTCTAATTGGCTTTCGGCATCCAGAAGATACTCATACAGATTTTGCAGAGCTTGCATCTGGTAAATGTAACATTTCAGTTTCTAGTAGAAAAGGAACCACATGAAAGAGGGCATATATTACTACCTTCAGGCGAACATGAGAACTCGATGACAAAGTTGCTCCCAATATTTTCCCAATGTCCTTCTCCAGCATGTATTCAGGTCTAGCAATTAGGATAAATCCTAAAGCCTACATGAACAATGCAGATATAGGTGAAGAGCCTTAAATTTTAAGCTGTTTCAGAGAAGTGGGAGCACAAGGCATACCTGCAAAGATCTGACTTTCACACTGAAGTCGTCCATTATGAGGTAGTTCTTGAACAAGCTTATACTACTTCCAACATCAATGTTTTTGCTACTTGACCCACTAATCAATGGATTTCCATATCGAATAAGCAACCCAAGGCAGAATAGAGAACGCCCTATCAACTGTCACTTGCAGAAAAAGATGAGGTTAATTCATTTTGTAGCACAGCACATTCGAAGCATGTACACAATGTAATGGATGTTTCCTAATTAGGTGTTAGGAAACACAGCATTAGTAAATGTAAGCCCCCATCGACAAGGAACAGAAAGCTTAAACATTGGACTATCATGCTTAAGAAGTTAATAAGCACCAAACTATGCTAAATCCACCAACCTGTTTGTTCTCAATTGTTTGAGCATCAAGGCGCCTGAAGAAAACCTGTATGAGGAATTCAATAACACTAGCCCCTTTTCCAGAAACCTTACTCAACGTACACAGACACCTGCAAGTAAGGAAGCATTTAACTATCTACATCTAAAATTTAAGAAAAGGATGATGCAGATTTGGAATGCAAAGTAGAAACACTCAACAGTGTTGATCTGCAAAGTCAATGTCAAGAAGAAATGCTTAGCCTACAGTATTAAAAATTTTGGGCTCAAAGCAATGAACTTATTAATTTAAAGTTTCTACACATACAAACGTGGTCTACAGTGTAATAATACACAATTTTTCAAAGGGCTTATGAAGCTTCAATTGCAAGCATATTTTTGCATAGTGAAGATGTAAATAGTATCCATAATATTGCTGTAAATACAAAACTAGATTTAACTAGCTGCAAAAAATGACAGCAGGAGATAAATTCCTGAAAATGTAGAAGTCCCTCAAAGATGAATTAAAGGAGACCAGCTGCTTGCAAAATGTAAATACCATCTTTTATCATCCATATCGACAGCCAAATCCATTCACAATGCATGCAAAGGTCAGCACACAGCAAATTAAATCAACAATAAATGTTCATAACTATACACCATCAAAGGTTGATAAAAAAATGAATGTGTCCATTACGAGAAGAAACCGAGTAGATGAAATTACTTGATGCAAGCATGCACCACTGTCAAAAATGAGTGCCGCCCGATCATTTGTTTCAAGTCTTGCTCGACTTCTTCAACAATACTTGATGTCAACTTCCTTATCAAGGGAAGTACAGAATCAATTATGAATATTATACTTTCCAGAAACTGCGCAACAACTCGGTTATCAACCTGGACAGAAACAGAAGCCATATCAGCTGAAGCATTAGCCCAATGGTTGGAGGCACTGAGCTAGTTATTGCAGTAACTTAATCTCAAATCCAGTTCTGCTTTGTTTCCATCTCTAATATCCAAGCACTAAATATTATTCTGTGGCTTGATGCCAAATTAGCAGCTTAAATGTCCATAATCAGCTTGGTTCTACACTTTTAACCCCCAAATCTGCCATGAAATCAAGTAGCGGAGTTTTCCCTACTTGAACATATCTATCTTTGCCAATGCACTAGGAAAACCCAAAGTTTAACCAACCACTAGGTTGAGCCCTTGATTAGCAAAGATGTAAATAATTACTCTTGTCTGATCCTTAACCTTGAAAGGTGAATGTTCATACATGATCTACAAAGTTGCCAACCCAGTTGACCCAAGTACCTACCACCCTCAGATTGACAAACCAGGTACAGCAGCCCCCATATGTCATATACCAATCTCAAGCAGACAATTAAACTAATATACAAGTACATTTTATCACCCATATTGCTGAAAGACGAAATGCAGTAGCAAATGATAATAAATAATAATACAACCTGAGTCTTAAGATAAGGCTGCAGCGTGACAACAAATTGAGATGGGTCAGAAGATGGCACACAAAGGGTTGGATCCACCACACAAAATGAATGTAAGGCCAGCACGTATGGCAGAGTTTGCACCTCCTCTTCAGTGTTATTCATTTCCTCCACCTGAAAGTATTTAGAATAGTATTCATATATGAAATAATTCAGCTTATGCATATAAAGCCAATGCTGATACCTGCAGTATCCTTTCTAGTATGCACTTGCACATTAGCTCACATCGCTTGCGCACAGATGCAAGCGACATAGGATTGATCCCAACAGCTTTAGCAGACTGGGGGAAAAAATCAAGGGCTAGGTTGCGCTTAACAACAGTGACAAGGAGGTGATTATTTGCCATCCTCCGCAGCATTTCAACAATCTGATCAGTCTTCTTAGCCACCTCCAAAGGTACAGAACTACCATCCCCAGAAAACGTTGTCTGCACACCAGAAGGTTCCTCAAACCATAACTCGAAAAATGTCTTGCAGACGAGATCCTGAGTGCAAAGAAGAATTACAAATAAGCTACAGCAGTCAGGTATTATAGATTTTTTCCTACAACAGAAACATATTTATGAACCCAGAGATACAAAAAACCAAACAAATTTAATGCTGTTGGAGATAATAGAAGTGTATACCAAAAATTTCCATGATAATTTAACAAATCCCATTTCCATCTAAGTTACCTGAATACTTGATTCGTCGTCACTAACACGAGAAATTATCTCAATGCAAGCAGTCGTAAATTGAGTGAAGTTGGTGTTTGAAGTGCACATATCTCTGATAATTTTGATGGCCCTCTTTCGGACGCTCACTCCAGTGTCTTTGATCCTCTCAGCAACCTTCTCAAAGTACTGCATGAAACCAACATTTTCAGAGTGAAAAGCTGGGTACAATCAATAGTGCATTTATACAAAGAAAGTAACAAAATAAATCAGCCTACCTGCAGGCCAACATCAGGATGTGAAGCAATATGCCTTCCTACCAGTTCCAATGCAGCTTCCCTAACAGAAATTGCAGAATCGCAAAATCTTCCTTCTACGGCTAATTGAACGGATTTATCGCGTAAGACCTCTGGATCAGTTTCTACTATAATGCTGACCTGTTCCCATTAAAAGCACACGAAGAAGAAGAAGAAGAAGAAGAAGAAGAAGAAGAAGAAGAAGAAAGAAAAAGAATTAAGAAATTCCATCACAAAAGTAACATAATAATTAAAATTGAGCTGGTACTCGAATTGCAACTCTATCTTACAGCTCGCAGTGCCTTGGCCCTGATTACAGGAGAGTTCTCCCTTAAACTTGCCTGCAAATAGTGCACATGTAAGACTAAAGTCTACTCAATGATGAGAACAGCTGAAGTACAATCTCACCCACCAGAAGCATATGAAGAATTTTGTCAAACCCTCGAACAAAAGAACTATTTTGTCCCAGTGCTAACGTAATCTTCTTCATTGAGTCCCTCGTCAGCATGGAATGGCTAGTACCAGAATCACGCACAACAAGATTTGATTTTAGCCTCGTGATGTCATAAGTCAACCTCTGCTCAGATTTTGAGTCATCCTTGTACCAAAGGCACATATAGAACCTGCACATGGAATGTCTTTCTAAACTGATAATAAATATAAATTGTCTGGGAAAGAGATGAAGGACTATTCAAGTACAAACCAGCCGATGAACTGATGCATATCATCAGCAGAAACTGAATCTTGGAGGAAGTTTAAAAGCGTCTGTTGAATAACTTCAACTTTTGTGACCATATTAGAAGTTTCAGAACTTTTAGCAGATGCAGATCTGTTTGCTCTCCCATTATCTTTGCGCTGCATGTTACAAAATGACTGTAACACCAGAAGCTGCTTCTTGCACAGACAAATCTGACAATGCCAGTTCTGATTGGTTTCACATTCTCTGCCACCTGTGCAATCAGAATGAAACAATCTGTCGCAACCTTGACACATGAACAGTGCTTTCCCAACTCTTCTATCTAAGCAAACACAGCATGCATCTTTTGGGAAACTACAACCCGCATCATCTTCACTGTCTAATGCTTGTAAAATCCAAAGTTTCTCCTGGCGGCAATTGACAGAATCATGTTTCAAACTTGTGGCAATCATGCCAAGAAGATCAATTGCCATAGATCGAGCAGAAACATCCTTGGATTTTAGCCCAGCATTTTGCAGTAATAAGACGCAAAGTACCTGCAATTCACAATCTTTAGTAACAGAAGGTATCATGATCCATGCAAATGCAACTTATCCCTATATCTCACCTCCAGAATGAGAGCTGAAGCAGGGTACTCGGGTAAGTTCAGAGTGGTCAGTAAGTCTGTAACAAGGTTTTCCATGATAAGCTTCAGTTCAGCAGAATCCTGAGCTTTCACAGCCGTAAATCGCTGAAGTACACGAGTCCAGAAAAGACAGCATGTTTCCGTTACAGCTTCATGGCATTTAGAGATGTAAGTAGCATCCAAAGAGACTTCCAGGATGGAATGAGCAGTCGCCGCGTGCCTTAACGCTTCAGGAAGGTTTGCACTACTGTGTACCAATTGAATTAGCAAAGCAGTGACCATCTGAATCTGCTTTTGATCTTCATCAGGCAAGTGATAGGATCGGAGGGCTCGCTTTGAGACAGGTAGCTTCCAGAGCAGCTGAACCAACTCATCAACAATATAGGAACGATGTTGTGGGTATGACAAGAATATCTGCATCAAGATAGAAGAAGTCAAATGAGACTAACTAAATCCTCTACCATAGCAATGTGATCTAGAAATCGTATGAGTGCATAAGTACATGTACTTGGGTAAAAATTAAAATGCACAAGCTCCCAACAACAGTATACAGATCTCTACCCCGCAAAGTAGACCCATTGCCTTCAGCTGCAGGAGTTGAACATTGTCAACCATGAGCGTTGTAAAGCTGGTCTTCACTAATTGTAAAATGCAACTATCTGATAACCTCTCTATCGACAACAGATCCTTCAGTAAACCAATAATAGTGCAAAGTTTCTGTAGAATTGTATTCATGGCACTGTTGACCCTATTAAAGATGGCAAAGAAAGGGCAAATGATTAGAAGAACGTTTCTCTGAAAAGGGGGGAAAAAGTGAATGACAATTTCAGAGCAGATTGACAAACAAAGAACACACTTATTGTAAGCTGATTTCTTCGGTCTCACACTCTTCTGAACACGCCTTCTCTTGCCTGATGGACAGTAATCAGCCTCAGGGTCTTCATTCTCATCACCTGATTAGCAAAAAGAAGGAAATCCAATTACATGTTCAGAATAAACATTCGTCTGTAATCAGTAAAATTGTTCAGGATTTATAAATACTTATTAATAAAGATAAAGAAGAAATGACATAATAGGGTACTATAGAACACCATCTATCATTATACATGAGTCCTTTTAAGATTTGAGTTACCACAGTCTGCAAAGTATATATATTGATAAATGGTGCAAAGGAAGAAAAACAAGGAAAGCCATCCCCATCCAAGGTCAACGGCCCACCTTCATATGCTTCAGGTTCGTTTGGCTTATGCAAAGCCCGAAATGCTGGATCATAAGCTGACAAAATACCCAATATCTGATACTTAGAGAACTCCAGAATCCTTTCAATGAGCTGGCAAGAAAAAACCTCAACCCATCAATAGATCTAAATAGTCCAAAAACTTGAGTAGAAAAGAGCGTGAACGTGGAAACATAGCACAGGAACCACAATTACAGGACATTCAGTTTCAATAGGATCTGAGAAATGAAGCCAAAAAGAAAATGCACCTCTTCTTTGTAGAGCTGTTTTGGCATGCTATTGTGAGTCATTACAGCTAGAGCTGCATGGATAGACTCCAACGCAGAGAAGACGTAAGAGACTGCATCTGAGCCCGACTGCGACATTTGAAGCGAAACACACTTTTTAATGAAAACAAAATGTAGGGAAAAGAAAGTAACAAGAACAACATCATGAAACGTAGCCCAAATAATCTTCAGTTAAAAAGGCACAATCACACACTGAGCATACCAACAGGGAGAACATAGCGGTGAGCATACGAGAAACTAAATTAACAAGACTTCATTTTAGTTGAAGAAAATGTCTCCTATAGCAATCTGATTCACGAAGAGTCCCACATCCAAAAGGAGAGCATGAACCATACAATGACCATGTTGAAGTGATATAGTAAAAATTAATAGGAAGAATACTTTGAAACTTCTCAGAGAAACTAACAACTAATAATATTCCTAGAGAAAGCAAATGGGTTGGTTTGAATAATTTTGGTCAAATAACCACAACCACAAGTCAATTCATATTACATAATTTGGTTGATAGGTCACCACCATCAAATTGGTCCCAAAACTAAAACGTCAGGTGGGGTTTTGGTAATTTCAGGTTATACAGTTTCCAGGAAATACATGAAAAATACCTAATCTATCAATTAACAAATATTTTCCAAAAAAAAAACCATTCTTTTTAGAAATAAAAAGCTAGTTTTATGTGCGGTCACATGTTCATCCTTATTTTGAATTATTTTATTTCTTTTATTTGTAGTTTATATTTTTTTTATAAGATACGGCTAAAACATAAGGTACTGAGAATTTAACTATCGTCACTAAATTGGAAAGTGATAATATATAGAAACTATTAAAAAAACGTAACACAATGCCAAAAACAGGAGGGAAATGCATTTTAAAAAGTAAATTCATCACTGCACTAAGATATGTTAAGAAAGACACATGTCTACAAGAGAAGGCTGTGGAAGATGTGACTCAAAGACAAGTCACTTGAGGGAGATGTGGAGGGTGGATTTGGGATTGGAGGACCTTTCTCGGGAACCAATCAATACTCGACATCCATCACATTTCAGCCATTTGGCCTAGGCATCGGATCTGTCCGATGACCCAACAGCTCTCTCCCAACTGGCAAATTATAACAGATATTTGTTTTAATGCCTTTTGATTCCAGGTGATCAAAATGCCAAACCAACCCTACATTTTGGACCGGACTTAGAGCAAACAAACACTGTCTTAATCAGAAGTAGTTAAGGAAACTTACATGGTCCAATTGGTCTATTGATATGCCTTCTGCTCGATGTATCTGATGGTCTAGAATCCGTAACAATCTTACAAGGGCCTCAAGAGGGACCAAATGTAGAAGTTTCTTTCCACGAAGTAACATGATTTCATTAACAAGCAATCTAATATCACTAGCAGGTAACGCCAACCAATCCACTTCATCCCGTTCATCATTCGCAACTTCAGCTTTGCCACAGAATTGATCCAGTATATCACAGAAGTTCCTAATAGTAGCATCTGAACAAGGACAGGCCACTGAGTCTTTGTGTGGAATATATATTGTTTATGAATACCTTAAGTGTCAATATAACATATGTGAAAGACCAAAATCTTATTATAATGCATACCCTGTAATTCAGAAGGGTCACTTGGTTCAAGCTCAGACGGGTCGCTCACTTCAACCGGCACTGGTGCCACACTGCCTTTCCTCTTACCTTTTGGTTTTCTCATAGATGAATCAGTATCCTGCAATATTCCTTTGCATAAGAATCACCATAGCAGCAAATGCTTAATATTAACTCATCTCAGATACCTACATTAGGCGTATAGCTGCTGTAGCGGCTTTCCTGATCATTGCCATTTTGTACTTTAAGTGGAACAAGGATGCTGGGCTCAACATGGACGAGCTTGTTTTCCAAGGCTGCGTTTCCAGAAAATTGCTCCTTACTTGAGAAACTTGAACAAATAAAATAACCACAACAAGAGCAAAGCTAAGTGTTTCCTACAAAGCATAGCTATGTTAAGCAAGGGTGAGCCAATTTAGCCTAAGAATATCACTTGACAATATACCAAGTTTCTGCATCCAATTAGAGATGCCAAAGCAGTCTTCTGTTGATTTCTCATATTCTAATTTCAAGAAAATAACACAGCCTGAAAAATCCCATTATTACGAATCCACAGGACAGTGTATTTGAATTCTTTCTGCCCATTAGATTTGAAAACATACTCCAATTGCTCAACTATTGGAAACATGTGCCTAAACATAGGAACGAAGCTTATCTACATGCAAAAATACTTGAAAGAGGAAGCTAGAAACTTTGTTTACCATGAGTGGGATGCTCATATGCTTCAGGATTGTGCCGTAGAACCTGGTCATGAAGTTCCAAAGGTACCACATTATCCAACCCCATCCGCCTCACATCGTTCCTAAGGTGGCTGAGATTGAAAAAAGGGATAAATAGCGTCAAAGTAGTACACCAAAAATGACAGATGTAGACAACTCAAGTTCTTTAACACAAGCCAGAACTTATCAACTACACTTATCAGGGTAATGGATTTAAAGGGGACGGTCAATCGCATTCAATCTCAACAGTCAACACAAACAAGAGCCAATGACTAGGTTGCATCATAAAATTACAAACGCCGAAACGACAAAGCCGTCCTTCAAATTAAACTTTCCAGAATTAGGTCACATAGTCAATCCTATCCCAACATCAGATGCTCAATTCAGAATGAAGGGAGAACAACTCAAGCTCCTTGAGCATGATTTGGTTGCCACTAAATATGACTTGGGAAACAATGCAACTCAGGTACAACTGTGTTCTTAGCCAAAACGGCATCTGAATACAGTTTCTGAAATATTTATGACATATTTAACTCTTGATAAACGAATATCCCACGATTCTCACTTTAAGTGCGCGTTATAAAGATGCAAACGTGGCACTTCCTATTCAATTGGTGATCCTGTTTGTATGTACCTTCTCGAGTAATTCAACTGCATGTAGAATGCACTTTTCAAACTCTTCCCCAATAGTTTGAGCATCTGCATTGCTTTTTTTTCTTTTGGTGCCAACAATATTTTTTTTTTTTTTTTTTTGTCTCCTACTTGCTGCATCAAAATCCAAATTACAATACTGCATCACATTCAAACGACACACTAACTACTGCATTGCCACATGGACTCAAAGTAACCTTACAGTCTATTTCTCAAGTCAATCCAAGAGACTCCACCAATGATTTGAGCCAATGTTACAATAGAGGCAAGCAAACTTAACTGCCCTCCCTAGCAGGGAATTACACCGCTACCGAGTAGTACGCCTAAATTCAACTAGCAGGAACTAGAATTACCACTAACTCTGACTCCCTCGCTTACTAAACTTATCACGTACTCAGAAGCAATGGCGACTAAGCATGCGCTCGAATAAGCAACTGAAAACACTTACAGGTAGGAAACATCGGTATCGCCAAGCATACTGGCAATTCTAGCAGACTGAGCCACAATTTCATTTCGATTCAAGTACCAAAGGTCTCCACCACCGCGCTCGTCGAACAGCCGGAGTTCCGGATCGTAAGCGCCGCAGAACACCGGGAGCGAAGGTAAGGGCAAGTATGGCGCAACTTCCGAGTGTATAGTGTTGGAGAGGCCAACGCCTTGGGCGCCGAAGCCCGAAGCAGAACCACCGGGGTTAGCAGCCGGATTGCTCATAGCTGGACTAACCGGAGAAATTGCAGTTCGAAGGGGGAGCGCATTAAGAGAAGAAGTGGTTCGGAGAGGAATATATGTGGGAGCAGAGATCAAGTTGAGGAAGGAGAGATTCTGACTTATGAATGATGGAGTTGCAGAGCGGGATAGAGAGGTTCGGAGCCCTAAGATTCGGAGGAAGAAATTGGGGAGAGAAGGAAAAGGGGAAACAAGTGGCGGGGAAAGTAAAATGGGAAATTGTCGTAGAAAAATTCAGAAAAATAACCCTTCGGTTGACTGCCTTCACTACACTTTCATTTTTCTGGGGTTTTTCTGCATAGATTTTTATTTATGTTCTTCGCTTTTTCAAATTTTCTTCTATTTTTCGGGAACTCGCCGTCTGCAATTTGGTTCGGATAGTTGCTGGCCCATGGAGATTTGAATAAATCCGGAAAGTGGTTAATTACGGGGATGCCCCTGGTCAGCTTGCTGCACAAGTTTCATGGAAATTTTGAATAGTTGAAATGGTAAGATTTACTTAATAGTTACATGACTAAGTAAATCTCAATCCTACCACCTTATTAAAATTCAACGATTTAGATTGATCTTACTTAATTATTAAATTATAAAAACACTTTCCTGCACAAGTTGGCGTCTCGTCGTGCTGGGTTTCCCGCGTCTCCACGCGATGATGGATTTGCACCACCCAGGTTGACGTCCCGTCGCCATGGCGGTGAGGGATTCATCCCATGACCCAATTAATCACCCCATTGACTCAATTTTCCTTTGCGTACGTTGCACAGAGAGTATTTCCGATGTCGGCAAGAATTTTCAGGTGCCGGCGAGAATTTCCGGCCGCGACGAGATTCTTTCGACGACAGCGGTATTTTATAATATTTGTAAGTCTGGTTTGTAATGTTTACAGACAACTCGGTTTGTATTGTTTGTCATTTTTTCTATTATATTTGTAATGTTTATATGACTATTTTGTACGGTTAGTATGTTTTGTACTATTTGTCCGTTTTTTTTTTAAGTTTGTAAGCTTTGTTGTTTTGTAATGTTTGTCGGTTTCTTTTGTAATGTTTGTGAACTTTGTTATTTTTGTCCATCATGTTTGTCATTTTTGTCACCCATGTTTGTAATGTTTTTTATGTCTAAAAAACAACCTGGTTGACTTTTGGATGAAACTCTTCTATATAGAGATGGAGCCTTCAAAGTCAACCCGGGTGTTTTTCCATTTTGTATGATTTGTCGGTCTAGTTTGTCATTTTTTCCCACCATATTTGTAATGTTTGTATGTAAAAAAAAACAATTGGGTTGACTTTGGGACGAAACCCTCTATATAGGGATGAAGTCTCCAAAGTCAACCCGGTTGTTTATTTTCATTTTGTATGGTTTGTATTGTTTGTCGGTCTAGTTTGTATTGTTTGTATAGTTCGCATGTTTTGTATTGTTTGTAAATTTGTTTGTATGTTTTGTTGTTTTAGTTTGTAATGTTTGTATGTTTGTATTGTTTGTACTATTTGTAAATCCGGTTTGTATACTTCATAATTTTTTATAATACCCAAACTACCCATGTCATTAATTAAAAATCTCTTCCCATTTTTTAACCGTCAGATTGGGGTGTCCAGATCTAAGGGCTAGGAGAGGCTTAGTCAAGTGGCTAAGGACCCCCCTAGTCATGGGATCCGCCCTCGTATAAGTAGGGGTGGGCAACGGGACGGGATTGGGTACCCGTCCCGTTTGAAACGGGTAGCCAATCCCATTTGAAGTAGAAATTTCATCACATGTCTCAAACTCGTACAGGTTAACGGGTACTCATTACCCATACATTAATTGTGAGAACAACCCCAAAATAGTTACGAAACTGCTAGACTAAAAGAGAAATAATCAAAGCAAACGAAACATAAATTGGGTTCCGATCTTCTCATGACATTAAACGAATGAACTAGTACATATTTATAGGCATAGAAGTATCTACCTTTTCCTATCTAGAACATGACTCCTACTCTTATAAGGAACTAACTAACAATACCAAATCCTACTTGAACAAGGAAAACACTAATAAAGACAATAATAATAAAAGACTCATACAATAAAGATAACTAGGCCCAGATAATTAGCCCAATTGCTACGATGACTCAATTCTCTTAACAATCCTCTCCCTCTTTTAGGCTTTAGCACAACCTTGCCCTCAAGGTTGGTATTCATCGCGGAAGAACTCTCAACCTGGATAAACTTGTAGTAGATGATAGTGAGTGTGAAATAATGATGCTCGCGCTTTTGATACTTCCAGTTGAGCTTGAGCACCAAATTCGATCCTCCAACGTAAGGAGATCCATCGAAAATGAATTAATCTTGTAACTAGCTTTGTGCCCGCCCATTGGGCGGGTGAATTTTTTTGGCCTAATTTAACGTGGAACAAAAGCAGTAATTTTAGCTTCTTATGATCTTGTAGATTTTTTTTATTGTTATGTTTATATATTTGGGTACATTGGTAAAATGATTTATTTGGCGAATGAGAAGACTACGATTTTTTATAGGTGCATTAGGATTTAAATTTCGAGGAGTTTAATTGATTTCAAGTAACCAAATTCGCTTAGCAATTAACGATTGCCAAATGCCCAAATGTGCTATCTTGTTTGTGTTCTGAGTATTTGTAACGCATAACGTTGTGTTCTTGTTGTGCATGAACCAATATCATATTTTTGAAATAGAATTGTTCATGTGACTTGAAATTTTTTAATGACTATCGGTCTTTCCATACCTGATTTAGGCATGATTTCATATAAGGGTTGTTTGATGTGAAATTTTGGTGTGAGAATTGTGCCTAATTTTAACATAATGGCGTAATTGGGTAAAAACCCCACGTTTGGATCTTTGGATGAACAAAAATAACCCTAGAATTGCAGCGGACGTGGAATTTGTAGTTAGGGCACCTACTCCCATATTTTGACATTTCCATGTTGTTCTACCCAATGTTCTTCCTCTTCTATGATTACAAACTCACAACGGAAGGAGTAAATGGGTATTTTAATCAAAATTTCAGACCATCAATTTCTGATTTCAGTTTTAATCGTGGTCCATGAAACTGTTGCGTATCGACGGTTCAACCACGAAATACCAGTATCGGAGGTTAAATCGATAGGCGGTATCTAATGGTATTAACGATTGAACTACGATTAAAACATAGTTTTATCATAAAATTTCCTACCGCCTGACTTTTTTGGTACGGTCTCCGATGCAATTGCATGGACCATGGTTTTAACGCATTCTAAACATGTAATTTAGCCAATTTTCACTTGATAATTCTCGGGTTTTCTATAATGTAAAAATTAAATTAAATTCACACATTTTTAAAATTTCGTGGCAAAACGAATCCATAATGTATTGGTGGATACATCATTTGAAACATAACCTTTATATCATTTGGTGTTGACCAAACATGAATAACCAGATAAACTGCAGACAAAAGTGAAATTGGAACTTTCATGCATAGATCAATGTAATTGGACATGAAGAAATTGGTCACACCTTGTTTTGCTTAGCAGAACCCAATCCCCAGCGCTTTCCTACTTTATAGGACCAATGAAATACGTTCAGAATTTTCCGGGATGGCCGGCCTAGTGCGCTGCAATTTTCTTTATTTCGGTTCCAGGGAACGGATTCTCGGTCCATGAAATTTCTTCTGCAAATTCTCGCTCTGGGTCCGCGTCAGATCATGCTCTGCTCGAGGCAATTAATTAGGATTTCACACTGCCTTGAGATTTGAGAACCTTGAGTGACAATTGCCTCTTTCACCAGTCGGAAGCCGCATCCTGTGAACTCGCCCGATCATGCCGTTCAACTCTGCGGCTTAATCACAGGCCGGAATTCAGTCCCTCAAATTGCAATCCCATAACCCGCTCTGTTTTAATCACTTAAATCGCCACATAAGAAACTGTTTCAACTTTAAACGAACCGAAGCCTTGATATAACTGCTCTCTAATAGGAATTGGGGGTATCAGCGAAGGCGGCCGGGATTGGTGGAGAGAGAGTAAAAGATAGGGGTGTGCAATGGTCCGGTCCGTACCAGACCAAACCGTTGTTAAGACCGGACCGGACCGGACCGGACCGGACCGAGTAAAATGCGGTCTGGTCCTTGGTCCTAATGAATTTTATAATTACTGAAGAAATGGTGGACCGAGCTCATATTTGGACCGGACCGAACCGGACCAAATGGACCAAATGCAAGAATGCTCCGGTCCTTGGTCCTAACATGTCTTTCACTAATGGACCGTGGTTCTCATGAGTTTGGTCCGGTCCGGACCGAACCGAACCGTTGCACACCCCTAGTAAAAGAGTAGCCGCTGACGTGGATAGCCTATATTTTGAGGAAGGCTGACGTGTTAGGGGTTAAAATCTCAAAGCGCTTTATTATTTTTATAGATAGATGTGATAGAGTCAGTTTCTCCCACGGTTCCTTCACTTTTTGATTCGCAACTCCACTTCTGCTTCCCAGGCATGCACCAATCGATCTCTTCCAATCCCCATTTTCCATGCGGGATGTTTGAATTCTCCCGTACCCTTAATTCATGCGGCTTTGTCACCCCCTTGAGCATGGGACTATTGAGAATGATAATGGTTTTAAGTCCAATTCTTTATTAGTGATCTTTCCCACTGTCAGAACGAAAGAGTGCTAATGATAATCTAGATCAACACGAACGAACACAAATTTAAGGTGGTTCACTAACACAATGTGTACTAGCTAATCCACGGGCAGGAGAGAACAAATTTCACTAATTTGAGGAGAGTACAGGTTACAAACCAAATTCCAGAACGGACAAACCAAACAAACTAATCTCACAGACTTTACTATATATTAGGGTGGTGAAGAGTATTTATAGAAGTCTTCTCCTAATCCCAAACAGAAAACCAAACACCTTCTCCCAAACATACAAGGAAAAGGTCAAAACAAAGCCTAAACACAAATCCAAACAAAATAAGCCCAAAACACAAAACAAAACAAAAATAAAGCCCAAATCAAATTCAAGTCATATTCTAATAATCTCCACCTTGACTTGAATTCTCTCTCAAATACCAGATGTACCAGACGCAACCAAAGTTGCCAGATGTATCCAGACGCGATACATATTGCCAGACGTATCCAAATGCGGTTGAAACCGCCAAACTCAAACGCGATGCAAATCGCCAAATTCAGATGCAATCAAAATTGATAGACATATCCAAATGAGATCCATATCACTAGACTCAAATGCGATGTATATCACCAAACTCAAATTCAACCAAAATTTTCAGGCATACGAAACTCTTCAAAACTCCAAATGTACCAGAATCTTCCCTACCTCCAAATGCCCCTAAGGGCGGTTAACAAATCAAAACATGCAGCAAGTCCAA